CAATGTAATAAAAAGACTCTATTCTTTTTTTTTCTCTTTTCAGTTATATAAAAAGCCAGATGTCCCGCTCTATAAAAAAATCCGTTCTAGTAAGTAACCTTGTGTTTATATAGCCCGACTTTTATGGATCTCACGTTAGTGGAGTCTGCCAGCCATCTATCTTCACTTGGCTGCACTTTCTTTTCTCCTTATGACAGTTGCCCCATTCATTGGGTGTCTTCCTCTGCCTTTTTATAGGCTGAGATTGTGGGGTTGGAGAAGGGGTACTTTGTCAATCCCTTTGGAATATTGTCAGAGCAAAATGAAGTGTTTGGATTGCTATGGGAAAGGTATATTACCCCCTTTGCTTTTATTTGCAGATGTTTATGTGGATGTGAAACCTCTTTCTGGTTATGAGGCTACCACTTGTAACTGTAAGAAACCCGAGGATAGCAACAAAAAAGGCTGCACGGATGACTGCTTGAACAGGTAAAACATAGATCATAATCAGTGTAAAGAAATGGGTTGCTGTGAGTTTTCCAGGCTGTATGGATTCATCACTGAGCCTGGAACCCCAGGTTTCGGCAGTGGCCAGAGGAGCTTTTGCACAGTTAAAACTTGTGCACCAGCTGCGCCCATACCTTGGGAAGTCTGATCTGGCCATGGTGGTCCACGCTCTGGTTACATCCCGAATAGATTACTGCAACGCGCTCTACGTGGGGCTGCCTTTGAAGACAGTTCAGAATCTTCAGCTAGTCCAATGGGCGGCAGCCAGATTACTAACTGGGGTGGCATACAGGGAGCATACCACCCCCCTGTTATGTCAGCTCCACTGGCTGCCGGTCCATCTCCGAGCCCAATTCAAAGTGCTGGTTTTGACCTATAAAGCTCTATACGGTTCTGGCCCAGCTTACTTGTCCGAACGCATCTGCCCCTACGTCCCACCTCGTATTTAAGATCATCCGGGGAGGCCCTGCTCTCGCTCCCGTCAACAGCACAAATGCAGCTGGCAGGGGCAAGAGACAGGGCCTTCTCGGCTGTGGCCCCCCACCTATGGAACATACTCCCAAAGGAGGTAAGATTATTGATTATTTATTTATTTATTTATTTACAGCTTTTGTATTCCGCCCTTCTCACCCCACAGGGGACTCAGGGCGGATTACAGTGTACACATATATGACAAACATTCAATGCCAATTTTTGACATACAAACATATACAGACATACACAGAGGCTATTTATTTTATTTATTTCGAGGTTTTATATACCGACCCTCTCACCTTCAAAGAGGGATTCGGACCGGTTCACAACATGTGTTAACATACAAAGAATATACAATAACAAGCACAATGCCACTTCACAACACGATTAAAATATCAGCACTATACACATTAAAACATTTAACTTTTTTTGGCCGCCAGGGGAGCTGTTGCTTTCATCGTCCATCTGCGACGCTGGTGAATTACTTCCGCATTCCCCGCATGCTTCCTCGCTGGAATGCTCTTTATGGCCTCATAAATTAGTTAATTTAGCCTCCCCACACTTTAAGGTGGTACCTTATTTTCCTACTTGACAGATGCAACTGTCTTTCGGGTTGCAAAGGTCGACAATAGGCTACACAAAATTGGTTGGAAACCCACTCCAAACCGGGCTGGCTTCGAACTCATGACCTTTTGGTCAGAGTGATCTTAATGCAGCTGACACTCAGCCAGCTGCGCCACAATCCCGGTATTTGTATACCACTTTTCTCACCCCGAGGAGGACTCAAAGCGGTTTACACATAAGTAATGGCAAACATTCAATGCCAGTACAAACAATTACAATGATACACCACAATTAGACATAAATTAAATTAAAAAAATACATAAATGAGAAATAAAACAATCATTAAAACAATAAAACAGTTTCATCCGTCGAATCGCCGTTCCAGTCATTGTCTTTCCTAAATGCTGCATACATTTACTTCTACTGCCCAAAGGCCTGGTCCCAAAACCATGATTTTTATTTTTTTCTAAAAGCCAGGAGGAAGGGAGCAGATCTTACCTCATTTGGGAGTATGTTCCATAGGCGGGGGGCCACAGCCGAGAAGGCCCTGTCTTTTGTCCCTGCAAGGCGCATCTGTGCTGATCTGCTCCCGACCTTTAGAAAAAAATTAGAATCATGGTTCTGGGACCAGGTCTTCAGACAATAGATGTATGCAGCTTTTAGTGGGACACGGACTGGAACGGCGACTTGACTGATGAGATTGTTTTATAGTTTTAATAACTGTTTTGATATTTGGTAATGTACTGTTTTTAATATGATTTATGTTTAAAGTGTGATTTTACTATTGTAGTTGTAAGGCATTGAATTTTTGCCATTATCTATGTGTAAACCTCTTTGAGTCCCCCTCAAGGTGAGAAAAGCGGGATATAAATACTGTAAATAAATAATAAAATAACTGGCCCTGATTGTTTCTTGTCTGGAATTCCCCATCTTCTGAGTGTTGTTCTCACTCAACACTCCAGAGGAATTTCAGACAGGAAGCAATCAGGGCAGGACTATTTGCACAACAGAAGCGGCCTATAGCAGAATCCATGTTTTGCTAGAAAGGCAGCCTTTCCCAAACTAAACTTCATTCTGTTCCACCCTCTCCATTCAGGATGATCTTTGCCGAGTGCTCCCCAAATACCTGCCCTTGCGGAGAGCAGTGCTGCAACCAGCGGATTCAGAGGCACGAGTGGGTGCAGTGCTTGGAGCGCTTTCGGGCCGAGGAGAAAGGGTGGGGTATCCGCACCAAGGAGTCCCTGAAAGCCGGGCAGTTCATCATCGAGTACCTGGGAGAAGTTGTCAGTGAACAGGAGTTCAGGTGAGAAGCCAAGAAAAAGGGATGGAGAAGCACTCAAGGCATATTTATTTATTATTTATTTATTATTGGGAATAATTTTTATTGATTAATATGAACAGGAAAAATTAAAATAGTTAGAGAGAAGGAAAAAAATGTATAGAAGGTTAGCAGTGGGTTAAACCCCTGTGCCGGCAGGAACGAAGACCGACAGGTCGCAGGTTCGAATCCGGGGAGAGGCGGATGAGCTCCCTCTATCAGCTCCAGCTCCTCATGCGGGGACATGAGAGAAGCCTCCTACAAGGATGATAAAACATCAAAAATCATCCGGGCGTCCCCTGGGCAACGTCCTTGCAGACGGCCAATTCTCTCACACCAGGAGCGACTTGCAGTTTTTCAAGTCGCTCCTGACACGACAAAAAAAAAAGCATGGAAAGTGGGAGAACAGTGCACTGATAGGATAGTAGGAAAAAAGGAAGAGAAATAGATAGATAGATAGATAGATATATTACATATATAGATAAAAATATTATATATATATATCTGCATATATGCCATAAAATAAAGTTTAAAAAAATTAGAAAAAGGAAAAAAAGTGTAGATTTGACTTCCATTCTTGTTCATAGCAGTTCATCATTATATATATATATATATACACACACACACACCATTATATTGTAATATTATTAGTAATGTTACATGTAATGTAAATATATAATTATAATTATATATATAAAACCTTTCTCTCTTTTTATAGAGTGGCATCTTTCTTTTTTTCTGTCCCTTGATTTTGGTTTTTTCCCCCCAATTCCAACTCATTCATCTTTCAATTCGTTTTTAAGATATTCTTCAAAAAGTTTCCATCTGTTGGTTTTATAAATCTTCCTGTATTTTGCCTTAAAAAGAAAGTTAATTTGTCCATGTCCTTTATCTCTGCTTTCTCGAGCCATTGTTCTTTTAACGGTATCTTCTCACTTTTCCAATATTTTGCTGCATTTATTATGTATTTATTTATGGCATTTATATGCCGCCCTTCTCACCCCGAAGGGGACACAGAGCGGCTTACAAGATATATTTTCATACAATATATTATATTATTAGCATAGTACAATATTAGTATTATATATTATTATATTGTACGATACCATTATATTGCAATATTATTAGTAATATTACATGTAATGTAAATATATAATTATAATATTGTATTATTATAACTAGTATTATATTGTATTACATTATAATATTATAAATATTATATGTATATACAATATACTATATTATATTATTAGTAAAGACAAGGTGGAAATGTATTCCAGATCTTGTTCAGAAGAGCAAGGGGGAATTATTTGCCTTCCGCAGACAATTTATAAATCCCTTCGCCATTCTTTTCCCCAGAAACCGAATGATCGAGCAATACCACAACCACAGCGACCACTATTGCCTCAACCTCGACAGCGGGATGGTGATTGACAGCTACCGCATGGGCAATGAGGCACGCTTCATCAACCACAGCTGCAATCCAAATTGTGAGATGCAGAAATGGTAAGGCTATTGTGTGTGTCTGTGAGATAATAAGCGTAAGCGACCCAAAGGTTCTAGTGGCACATTTATAATCATGACCTAACCTCGAACATCCACTCTTCCCAGATAAAATAGAAGGGCCATCAAGTCCAGTTCCATGCCATAACAGAGTATAAAACTAAAGAACTCCTAAAAGATATCCAGTTTCTGTTTAAATACTTCCAAGAAGGCTACTGCTCAAAACACTCAATTCCACTGTCTAATCTCTCTAATATAAATGAAGTTCTGCCTAATGTTTAGGTGGGATCTCTTTTCTTGTAGTTGGAACTACAGTATATTCTCGAGTATAAGATGGGCTTTCCAGCCTCTTTTTTAGGCTGAAAAAGCTCCCCTCGGCTTATACTCGAGTCAAGATTATTTATTATTTTACTCTGTTATTATTTTTATTACATTTATTATTTTATTCTATTTATTACTATTATTATTACTATTACATTTATTCTTTTTCAATAATAATAATAATAATAATAATAATAATAATAATAATAATAATAATAATAATATGCTCTGGGACTTCCGGATTCAGACAGACAGAGTTTTGGAGCACAGAACTCCTGACCTCACGATCGTGTTAAAAAACGAAGTATGGATTGTCGAATAATGGTTTAATCAGAATTGGACAGTCTTAAATTACAGTTTTATGTAAATATTCAAAAACATTTAACCTTCTGATGGCTCAATTAATGTAATTTTATTGGTATCTATTTTTATTTTGAAATGTACCAGTAGCTACTGCATTTCCCACCCTCATCTTATACTCAAGTCAATACATTTTTTCATTTTTTTGTGGCAAAATTAGGTGCCTTGACTTACATTCAAGTCAGTTTATACTCGAGTATATATGGGTAATTGGTTCTTTTGTGTGTGTGTGTGTGTATGGACGTACACATACACAACATTTTCAATTGGTTCAATAATAATAATAATAATAATAATAATAATAATAATAATCAAGAAGAAGAAGAAGATCGAGCAGACAGACTACAAGCAGAGGCACAACACCGTTGCTCAGATGATTCATTGGAACTTGTGCTACAAATATCATCTGTCTGCGACAAAGAACGGGTGGGATCACAAGCCGGAAAAAGTTACAGAGAATGAACACGTCAAACTCTTCTGGGACTTCCGGATTCAGACAGACAGAGTTTTGGAGCACAATACTCCTGACCTCACAATCGTGTTAAAAAACAAAGTATGGATCTTCGATGTTGCAGTCACAGATGACAGCAGGATTGCAGAGAAACAACTGGAAAAGCTGACAATATGAGGATTTAAAGATCAAACTGCAAAGACTTTGGCACAAGCCAGTCAAGGTGGTCCCAGTGGTGATCAGCACACATGGTGCAGTGCCTAAAGACCTTGGCCTGCACTTAAACACAATCAGCACTGACAAAATTACCATCTGCCAGCTGCAGAAGGCCACCTTACTGGGATTTGCATGCATTATTCGCCGATACATCACACAGTCCTAGACACTTGGGAAGTGTCCGACATGTGATCCAATACAACAGCCAGCAGAGTGTCTGCTGTGGACTCATCTTGTTGTGTTTCAAATATACTTATGTGTCTGTTATAAGGCACCGGGATTGTGGCGCAGCTGGCTGAGTGTCAGCTGCATTAAGATCACTCTGACCAAAAGGTCATGAGTTCAAAGCCAGCCCGGGTTGGAGTGGGTTTCCAACCAATTGTGTGTAGCCTGTTGTCTACCTTTGCAACCCGAAAGACAGTTGCATCTGTCAAGTAGGAAAATAAGGTACCACCTTAAAGTGTGGGGAGGCTAAATTAACTGATTTATGAGGCCATAAAGAAGACTCCAGCAAAGCATTCCAGCAGGGAAGCATGCGGGGAATGCGGAAGTGCTTCATCAGCGTCGCAAATGGACGATGAAAGCGACAGCTCCCCTGGCGGCCAGAAAAAGTTAAATAGCCTCTGTCTATGTCTGTATATGTTGGTATGTTAAAAATTGGCATTGATTGTTTGCCATATATGTGTACACTGTAATCCGCCCTGAGTGCCCTGCGGGGTGAGAAGGGCGGAATATAAAAGCTGTAAATAAATAAATAAATAAATTATTTGTTACCACTCCAAAATGCTCAAGGCTAGTCTTGGGAGAAGCACAAAACAAGCTTGCTTCACTTTCTAACTGGCATCCCTTAATATAGCTAACGATAGCAGTCATATCATTTCTCAGCCTTCTCTTCTCCAAATTAGTAATTTCCCCTTCATTTATGAAAGTGTGAAACAACATTTATTATTTAGAAATAATAAATCCACTGCAGAAGAGAAGGATGAGAGGAGACATGATGAGGGGCATGGATCAAGATGGGAGGGGAAGTCATAGGGAGGAGGGAGCTGCCCTGGAGACTAGGACGCAATGGCTTCAAACGACAAGAAAGGAGATTCCACTTCAACATTAAGAAGACCTTCCTGACTGTGAGAGCTGTTCAGCAGTGGAACTCTCTGCCCCGGAGTGTGATGGAGGCTCCTCCTTTGGAGGCTTTGAAACAGAAGCTGGATGGCCATCTGTCAGTGGTGCTTTCAATGCAATTTTCTTGCTTCTTGGCAGAATGGGGTTGGACTGGATGGCCCATGAGGTCTCTTCCAACTCCAGGATTCTGTGATTCTATGAAAGACTTTCCCTTCTCATGACTGTAACTTGCACTCCTTTGTTTGACAGGTCCGTCAATGGAGTCTACAGGATTGGCCTGTATGCGCTGAAGGATATGCCTGCTGGCACTGAGCTGACTTATGACTACAACTTCCACTCATTCAATGTGGAAAAGCAGGTGAGGGTTGTAAGCTCCGATACAGGGGAATCATGGGAATAATTCTGTGTTTTGAACCAGTATTTTCAGGAACTAGTTTCCATGGACTTACCAGGTAAAGATATTGGGTGGAATTAGACATTTCATAGGTGTACCTATGTGTACCTAGATTTTGATGGGAAAATTATAGTGATGCAGCATATTATTTGAGAACACAGAAATACACAGAGAAGCCATTGAAAACCACAAGCACGTGGACAATATCAACAAAAAGGAGAAAACTATGATAATAATCAGTCTTGCTACCAGTATTAAAAAACTCTAAAATTAGTACAATAAATAAAGAGCAACACTCAAAAAACAGGGGGATTCCAGACAAGAATCAATCATGACCAGCTAACGCCTCCCAACAAAGGATTCTCCCAGGCAGCAACAAGACAGGTTTTGAAGCTGCAAGGGCATTCAACCAGCCAGGCTTTGAAGCTGCAAGGGCATTCATTCTCAAGTCGATCCTGACCCAAGGGGAAAAAACCTTTGATTAATATTGAATGGACTTCCAGCGTCAAAGCCTGGCTGCTTGCTGCCTAGGGGAATCCTTTGTTGGGAGGTGTTAGCTGGCCCTCATTCCCCCAGGCAGGAAGCAGCCAGGTTTTGAAACTGCAAGGCCGTTCAGTGCTAATCAAGGTGGCCAATTGCAACTTTCACACTTGCCTCAAGCGGAAAAGAGTTCTTTCTTCCACCCTGGACATTCCACAGTTATATAAATCTCACTTGCTTAAACAGAGGCTGGACGGCCATCTGTCGGGGGTGCTTTGAATGCAGTTTTCCTGCTTCTTGGCAGAATGGGGTTGGACTAGATGGCCCCTGAGGACTCTTCCAACTCTAGGATTCTATGATCCTTACCCTTCCAGATGCTTTTTTAGTTCCGGTCCTCCTCTTCTTCCTTTTCCTTCTTCTCTTCTTCTGTATTTATAGCCCACTTTTTCTCTGCCAAAGGAGACGCAAAATGGCTAACGATAATAACTATAACATTGTGTGTATTGAAAGCTATCACATACAAACATTAAAGTAGGATAATGTTGACCATGCTGCCTAGGCTTATGGGAGATGAAGTCCAAAATAATTGTGTGACCAAAGCTTTGCTTATTTGGACTACGGTTAGTGGTTGGCAATTGAAAAATTGGGGCTATTTGGGAGGATGAAAATTTCTCTTTTGGGGGCTCTAGTTCCCTACATTAATGACTTCTGATAATGTTTTGGACAGGAGATGCAGTCCAAATGGTGTTACTTTAGGGCAGCATTTCTCAACCTGGGGGTTGGGACCCCTGGAGGGGTCGTGGGATGTCAGAGAGGTCGCCAAAGGCCATAAGAAAAAACAGTATTTTCTGTTGGTCATGAGAGTTCTGTAAGGGAAGTCTGGCCCAATTCTATCGGTGGGGTTTAGAATGCTTGTTGATGGTAGGTGAACTATAAATCCGAGCAACTACAACTCCCAGATGTCAAGGTCTGTTTTCCCCAAACTCCACCAGTGTTCACATTTGGGCATATAAAGTATTCCTGCCAAGTTTGGTCCAGATCCATCATTGTTTGAGTCCACAGTGCTTTCTAGATGTAGGTGAACTACAATTCCAAAACTCAAGATCAGTGCCCACCAAAACCTTCCAGTGTCTTATGTTGGCCATGGGAGGTCAGTGTGTCAAGTTTGGTTCAATTCCATCGTTGGTGGGGTTCAGAATGCTCTTTGATTGTAGGTGAACTATAAATCCCAGCAACTACAACTTCCAAATGACAAAATCAATCCCCTCCAACCCCACCAATATTGAAATTTGGGCATATTGGCTATTTGTGCCAAATTTGGTCCAGTGAATGAAAATACATCCTGCATATTAGATAATTTACATTACGATTAATCACAGTATCAAAATTACCGTTATGAAGTCGCAACTAATATAATGTTATGGTTGGGCGTCACCACAACATGAGGAACTGTATTAAGGGGTCGCGACATTAGGAAGATTGATTCCAACAGACCCCTCAACCTCTGAAGATGCCTGCCATAGATGTGGGTGGAATGTCAGGAGAGTAGTCCAGATTGGACTACTGCAATGTGCTCTACGTGGGGCTGACCTTGAAAACGCCCCTATAATTCCAACTGGTCCAACGGGCGGTGGCCAGGTTGTTAACTGGTGCTCCTTACAGAGAGAGGTCAACCCTCCTGTTTAAGGAGCTCCATTGGCTGCCGTTCATTTTCTGGTCCCAATTCAAGGTGCAGGTGCTCACCTACAAAGCCCTAAACGGTTTGGGACCCGCCTACCTCCATATATGAACCCACACGATCTCTCCGATCATCTGGAGAGGCCCTGCTCACGATCCCACCTGCGTCGCAAGTGCGGTTGGTGGGGATGAGGGACAAGGCCTTCTCTGTGGTAGCCCCCCGACTTTGGAACTCTCTCCCCAAGGACATTAGACAAGACCCAACGCTGGCAGTCTTCAGGAAGAGCTTGAAGACGTGGCTGTTCCGGTGTGCCTTTCCAGAATAGGAAGCTCCTAGCATCATGTCCCAAATGCACTTTATTAGAGATTTAAGATTGTCTGCACACAGCACTACCTCTAAAAACCTATACATGTCACCTGTCATGTCCAGCACTTTTAAATTTTATTAATTACATTTGGCCCGGCCTTAGTTTTAAATGTGTTGTGGTGTTACTTTTTTTTTAATGTTTATTGTTATTGCTTTAATTTTTTGTTTGCTTTACTGTTGTATTTGTTATGCTGCTATTTTATTGAGGGCCTTGGCCTTTTGTAAGCAACACCGAGTCCTTCGGGAGATGTTAGCGGGGTATAAATAAAGATAATAATAATAATAATAATAATAATAATAATAATAATGATGCTTCTGGAACATGGCCAGACAGCCTGAAAAACTCACAGCAGCTCCAAATTTGTAGTGATTAATCGCTATGATTATGAGTTTTTGTGTGTCAGTTGAAATCGACATAGGACAGGCACCACTATTACCCCCTTTCCCAAGATTCCCTTCTGCAGAGTGTGACATGCTATCTTTTGTCTTCCCAGCAACTCTGCAAATGCGGCTTTGAGAAGTGCAGGGGGATCATTGGGGGCAAGAGCCAACGCATGAACGGCCTTCTGAGCAAAAGCAACCAACTGGTGTCTGCTCAGAGAAGGCCGAGCCGGTCCAAAGAGAAGAGGAAATCAAAGCACAAGCTGAAGAAGCGGGTGAGTGAGTACCGGCAGCCCACTTGCCCTTTTTGATGGGCACTATTTCATTTGAGTTTGGGTCAGGGATGGTCTTGAGGCCCACGCGTGGCCCATGTGCTGTCCTTCACTCCTCCCAATCGTAGAAGTTTGATTCAGAGCTTGAAAGAACCACTCTTGGCTACAAACTCTCCAAATATCCCAACCAAGAGATGTCAAGAGAAATGTGGAATCCTCCCTCTGTGTATGTCTGCTAACATTGTTTTCCTCGGTTCGCTTTTGAAAGGGTTTTTTTTTCTATCTTATAGAAGGGCCATGCCTCTGAGGAGCCCAGTGAAAGCTCAAGCACCCCAACTCGGTTGACTCCCCAACTGCAAATGAAGCCTATGTCCAACAGGGAAAGGTAGATGAACGTCTGCTTCTTCTTGCTTGTTTCTTTCCAACAGTTCAGTATCAAGTGATTTATAGTAGCCATCTGACACAATAAAACAATATCCCCTTCCCATTTTTTGAGCCCTCTTTCAAGTCTCGTCTCAGATGGGGAATCCTTTGATATCAGCAGAAAAACACATTATTGTGATCTGGTGAAATGATGCAGTGTCAGTAACTCTATACATGTACATATATATCTATATAAATAAAAATGTAATATTTGTTTGTGGGGTTAACATAACTCAAAAACCACTGTGAATTGACACCAAATTTGGACACAAAACACCTATCAGGCCAACGAGTGATCAACACTCATAAAAACACTGAAAAACACAGCAGAAGGGGCTTAGAAAGCAAAAAAAAAAAAAAAAAACATTACAACTAATGCGCAAAACCACATATACACAAATACACACACACACACATATACACATATATTTATACACACAAAACATATATACACAGACTGGGCCACAGCAACGCGTGGCAGGGGATGGCTAGTATGTGTGTGTATATAACACAATCCAAAATTAACGTTAAAAGTCATTTTATCACAGAGCTGGAGCCCCCGGTGGCACAGTGGGTTAAACCCCTGTGCCGGCAGGACTAAAGACTGACAGGTTGCAGGTTCGACTCCGGGGAGAGCGCGGATGAGCTCCCTCTGTCAGCTCCAGCTCCTCATGCGGGGACATGAGAGGAACCTCCAACAAGGATGATAAAGCATCAAAACATCTGGGTGTCCCCTGGGCAGCGTCCTTGCAGACGACCAATTCTCTTACACCAGAAGCGACTTGCAGTTTCTCAAGTCGCTCCTAACATGACAGAAAATAATAATAAACCAGAGAGCTGTGTCTTTGAGATGTTAAAAGCAGAATAAGGTAGTGATGAAGGGAGGTTTGATGCAGGTAAAGCCCCTGCTTCTGCATCTCGGAGAAATAATACCATACCTCTGCTCCTTCTGTTTCTTCCCACAGGAATTTTGTGCTAAAACACCATGTTTTCCTGGTGCGCAACTGGGAGAAAATCCGGCAGAAGCAAGAGGAAGTAAAACATGCCAGTGACAACATCCACTCTGCTTCATTATATACCCGCTGGAATGGGATGTGCCGGGACGATGGCAACATAAAATCTGGTAAGGACTGCAGGTTTAATAATAATAACAACAATAATAATAATAATAATAACGATAATGATAATTTTATATCTTACATGCCTCTCCTTCCAACCTCCCTGGCCTCTATTGATATAAATACTACCTCTATTCATGCCAAATAGAGCTGGGCTTTAGCACAGCAGGTTATCCGCCAGCTGCAGTAAATCTAACTGATCAAAATCCGGGTCAGGGTGAGTTCCTGGCCTTTAGCCCAGCTTCTGGAATGTGTCCACAGGAGGGCGACTAAAACGATCAAGGGTCTGGAGAACAAGCCCTATGAGGAGCGGCTTAAGGAGCTGGGCACGTTTAGCCTGAAGAAGAGAAGGCTGAGCGGAGATATGATAGCCATGCATAAATATGTGAGAGGAAGTCATAGGGAGGAGGGAGCAAGTTTGTTTTCTGCTTCCCTGGAGACTAGGACGCGAAACAATGGCTTCAAACTACAAGAAAGGAGATTCCATCTGAACATGAGGAAGAACTTCCTGACTGTTAGAGCCGTTCAGCAATGGAACTCTCTGCCCTGGAGTGTGATGGGGGCTCCTTCTTTGGAAGCTTTTAAACAGAGGCTGGATGGCCATCTGTCAGGGGTGATTTGAATGCAATATTCCTGCCTCTTGGCAGGGGGTTGGACTGGATGGCCCATGAGGTCTCCTCCAACTCTTTGATTCTATGATTCTGAGTCGATCAGTAGGTACTGCTTAAGCGGGGAGATATTGAAGGCACCCATAAGGAAATGCCAGAAAAATGCTGGCAATTCAATCGAGGTGGAAGTTTATGAACAAAGCTCTTTGACAGGGAAAGTGGAGTGACAGCACCCTCCTGTGGCCCGGAACAGAGCACAGCCTCCAAGATGCCGAAGATGGGAAAGCCTATATATACCTCTATCTATGTACATTTGTCTGTCTTTTCAGTGTATATGGCATTGAATATTTGTCGTATACGTGTTCTGTGATCTGCCCTGAGTCCCCTTCAGGGTGAGAAGGGTAGAATGTAAATACTGTAAATAAAGAAATAAACAAATAGTTCCATACTTCATTTTCTTAAGCTGTTACTTTTACAATGCAATCCATAGCTAGGTAGAATTTTAAGATTATCTTTCCTTTTTGCTAACTTGCTCTCCCTTTACCAAGCATTACTATATTTTCTAAGAAATTGTGTCATCTCATGATACGATAGTCTTGGTTTTGGCAGAGAAATGTCAGGCTTAATTTGTGGTTCCCATAGAACTTTATTTTTATCAACACATTTCAAACACAAACAAGAAGAGCAGTGTGTTGTCGAAGGCTTTCAGGAGACCCCGGTGGCATAGAGGGTTAAACCCCTGTCCTGGCAGACCAATAGGTCGGAGGTTCTAATCTGGGGAGAGCACAGATGAGCTCCCTCTATCAGCTCCAGCTCTCCATGCAGGGACATGAGAGAAGCCTCCCATAAGGTTGTGAAACATCAAAACATCCAGGCGTCCCCTGGGCAACGTCCTTGCAGACAGTAAATTCTCTCACACCAGAAGCGAATTTTAGTTTCTCAAGTCGCTCCTGACATGACAAATAATTAAAATGGCCGGAATCACTGGGTTGCTGTGAGTTTTCCGGGCTGTTTAGCCATGTTCCAGAAGCATTCTCTCCTGATGTTTTGCCCACATCTATAGCAGACATCTTCAGAGGTTGTGAGGTCTGTTCAAAACCAGGGCAGTGAAGCCATTGAAATCCACAAGCACGTGGACAATTTCAACAGAAAGGAAGAAAGCATGAAAATGAACAAAATCTGGCTACCAGTAGTTAAAAAAAACCTCTAGAATCAGGACAGTAAATAAAGAGCAACACTCAAAACAGGTGAATTGCAGTCAGGGAACAATCAAGGCCAGCTAACACCTCCCAACAAAGGATTCCCCCAGACAGGAAGAAGCCAGGCTTTGAAGCTGCAAGGCTATTCAAGCTGGGCAATGGCAACATTCACTCTTGGTAAAATGACTATGAGATTGGATCTGATTTTATTCGAGGCGTGATGACGCTATGTGTATTGTTTGTGGATGTCTGTCATATGCATTGTTCAATGTTGCACTTTTTATTGTAAACCGCTTAGAGTCGCCTTGGCTGATATAGGCGGTATACAAAAGGAGTAAATAAATAATAAATAAATTATCTCAAACAGACAAGATTTCTTTCTCCCACACTGGACATTATTCCACAGATATATAAACCTCACTTGCCTAGTTTCCAACACACCTCACAACCTCTGAAAACGCTGCCATGGGTGTGGACAAAACGTCAGGAGAGAATGCTTCTGGAACATGGCCGGACAGCCTGGAAAACTCAACAGCAACCAACCAAAGCAGTAATGGGCAACGGTGGACGGCCTTAGTCCCTGATAGAGACCATGGAGGACCATATCTCCTTTGCATCCATTTCTACAACAAACAAAAAATTCTCTTATCTCCCCTTCTCTTTCAGATGTCTTCATGACGCAGTTCTCTGCCCTGCAGACGGCTCGCTCAGTTCGGACGCGGAGGTTGGCCGCAGCTGAGGAGAACCTCGAAGTGGCACGTGCGGCACGCCTTGCACAGATCTTCAAGGAAATCTGCGATGGTATCATCTCATACAAAGGTGATGGCAGCCCGGGGCCAGGAATATTTTTTCCCCTTTTCTCATCTGTCTGTTTGGCTGTTCCAAGTTGCTGATTTTCCTCTAACTGTGGGTTCCAGTCTTTCCCAACCCAAGTCCCATCAGAAGGTGGACTACAACTATTAGTGGAACCCCCAGTGGTGCAGTGGGTTAAATCCCTGTGCCGTCAGGACTGAAGACCGACAGGTTCGAATCCAGGGAGATCACGGATGAGCTCCCTCTATCAGCTCCAACTCCTCATGCGGGGACATGAGAGAAGCTTCCCACAAGGATGATAAAACATCAAAAACATCCGGACGTCCCCTGGGCAACATCCTTGCAGCCGGCCAATTCTCTCACCCCAGAAGCGACTTGCAGTTTCTCAAGTCGCTCTTGACATGACCAAAAAAAAAAAACCTTGACAGTTGGGTGTTCTGGTTGGATCAATGTAGTCCCTCAGTATCTAGAGAGGCCTGAGGTGGAGAATACGCCTTGGGTACATCCAAACTGGAGTATTGCAATGCGCTCTACGTGGGGCTGCCCTTGAAGACGGCCCAGAAGTTTGAACTGGTACAACGGGCGGTGGCCAGGCTTCTTACTGGAGCAAACTATAGGGAGCATACAACACCCCTATTAAAACAGCTTCATTGGCTGCCAATAAGTTGCCGAGCCAAATTCAAGGTGTAGATCATGACCTATAAAGCCCTAAATGGTTCGGGCTGTGCCTATCTCTGTGATCTCATCTCCTCCTATGAACCAGCATGAGCTCTAAGATCTTCTGGGGAGACCCTCCTCTCAGTCCCACTACCATCTCAAGCGTGGTTGGTGGGGACGAGAGAGAGGGCCTTCTCATTGGTTGCCCCCCATCTCTGGCACACCCTTCCAAAGGAAATAAGACAGGCCCCATCCCTCCCCTCCTTTCGTAAGAACTTGAAGACCTGGTGGTTTCAACAAGCCTTTGGAAATGACCAGTTCTAACTCAGCCCCACACATTGTCGAATACGGCCTTATTCTTCCTACCAGTTACCCAGATTCTTTCCTCTAATTGGCCCCGGAATGAACAGCCACAGACCCGTACCTCATATTATTGTTGCCTGCCATAGCATTGCACTTAATTTCTCGGCCCCCTGGAAGTTTTGGGCTTGCACAAATCTTGGCCCGGCCTTTTAAATGTTTAATTGCCTTGAACAGGCAGGATTATTTTTAATATATGTGTGTTATGGCGTCAATTTTTATGCTTATATTTTGTTTTGTTAATCTTATGGTTATGTTGTTTTTTACTTTGTATGTTTTGTGATGTTACCTGGGAACCGATCTGAGTCTCCTCGGGGAGATAGAGCGGTATATAAATAAAGTATAATAATAATAATAATAATAATTATTATTATTATTATTATTATTATTATTTTGAACCAGATTTCTTTTCTGCATACAAATCTCTTCTTCCCCTCAAAGAAGATGCTCAAAATGTATAGGATTGAAACATAAGGAAGAGGGATTAGACTTGTTTTCTGCTGCCCTGGAAACTAGGGCTCCGTGAAGGAATTGGTTCAAATGACAAGAAAGGAAATTCCACCTAAACATTAGGAAGAACTTCCTGACTCTAAGAGCTGTTCAACAGTTTAACTCACTGCCTCAGAGTGTCATGGAAGCCCCTTTTTTGGAGGTTTTTAAACAGAAGCTATTGGCCATCCGCTTTGATTGTGCTTTTCCTGCATCAGAGGTGGTTGGACTGGATGGCCCTTGGGGGTCTCGTCAAGCTCTAGGATTCTATGTATTGTAAACAAACTTTTTCTCTGCCTCCATTCCAGATTCCTCCAGGCAGGCCCTTGCAGCTCCTTTGCTGAATCTCCCCCCAAAGAAGAAGTAAGTTCTTGTATTTTCGCGAAGGTAGTCAAAGGGTCTGTGATTCAAACAGAACCAGGACCTGTTTTGAAATAAGGGCTTGTTGTAATGTGATATCTTTTCTGCTCTGTGTGTCTTAGGAACGCAGATTACTACGAGAAGATATCCGACCCCCTGGACCTCACCACCATTGAGAAGCAGATCCTGATCGGATATTACAAAACGGTGGAAGCTTTTGACGGTGACATGTTGAAGGTGTTTCGTAATGCTGAGGTGAGTTGGAGGGCATTTGGCTCTAGCACAGGGATGGGCAAACTTGGGCCCTCCAGGTGTTTTGGACTTCAACTCCCACAATTCCTAACTGCCTCAGGCTCCTTCCTGCTTAAGCGGCTGAGGGGGAAAAGAAAGGGCCTGAGGCTGTTAGGAGTTGTGGGAGTTGAAGTCCAAATAACCGGAGGGCTGAAGTTTGCCCATGCCTGCTCTAGCAGATGCTTCTTGCCAGTCCCTTGACCCTGAGAAACAGCGTCTGAATGATTTACTGTATATACTCGAGTATAATCCTAGTTTTTCAGCCCTTTTTTAGGCTGAAAAGGCCCCCCTTGGCTGACACGCAAGTCAAGGTTATTTATTACTTTACTCTATTATTATTGTTATTGTTATTATTATTATTACATGTATTATTTTACTCTATTATTATATTTATAATTTAACTTTGTTATTACTGTTATTATTACATCTCCATTATTTTACTCTATTATTATTATTATTATTATTATTATTATTATTATTATTACATGTATCATTTTACTCTATTATTATTACATTTATAATTTAACTTTATTATTACTGTTATTATTACATTTCCATTATTATTATTATTACATGTATTATTTTACTCTATTATTACTGTTATTATTACATTTCCATTATTATTATTATTATTATTATTATTATTATTATTATTATTATTATTACTTTATTTGTACCCCGCTAGCATCTCCCGAAGGACTCGATGCGGCTTACACAGGCCGAAGCCACAAAACACAATATAATAGAAACAGACATCACAAAAGCAGAACAAATCAAACAATAGCAAAATAACAACAATAGCAGTACATCAGGACATTATTAAAACTGGTTCGGCCGGCGCACTGGGTACAAGGGATTAAAAGTGCTGAAATGGCAGGAGGCACGTAGGATTTCAAGTGCGGTGTGCAGTAACAATTTGTTATGCTAAGGTGCTATTTGGACTTGGGGTGGGGATTCCTAATCTGAGAAAGCACAACGGAACAGCCAAGTTTTTAAATTCCTTCTGAAAACGGCTAGAGTAGGGGCCTGTCTGAGATCTTTTGGGAGGGCGTTCCAAAGTCGGGGGGCCGCCACAGAAAAGGCCCTGTCCCGTGTCCCCACCAAGCGCACTTGCGACATAGGTGGGATCACGAGCAGGGCCTCTCCAGATGACCGGAGCGAGCGTGTGGGTTCGTAGATAGTGATGCGGTCACGCAGGTAGGGTGGTCCCAAACCGTTTATTATAGACTTTATTATTATTGGAAGGACATGGAAGCACATTTACATAGAACAAGGATAATAATCATAGTTGGGTAGTCTTACCTTAAATTACCTTAAATTACAGTTTTATGTAAATATTCAAAAACATTTAAGCTGCTGATGCCTCAGTTATTGTAATTTACTTACCCATAGTCCATGCTTATCATCTGTCACATCCAGCACTTTTTTAACTGTACCCTCTACATTCGGCTCGGCCCTAGTTTTTATTATGTCATGGTGTATTGTTTTATTGCTTTAGTATTACTGCTTAATTGTTTTTGGTTTGCTTATGAGTTATGTGTATTGTATATTGTTGTTTAATATTGCTTTAATTGTTTTAATTTGCTTTAGATTTGTATTGTTATGTTGTGTTTGAGGCCTTGGCCTTTGTAAGCCACATAGAGTCCTTCGGGAGATGCTAGCGGGGTACAAATAAAGATAATAAAAATAATAATAATAATAATAATAAGAAGAAGAAGAAGAAGAAGAAGAAGAAGAAGAAGAAGAAAACAACACTTGGAAAGTGTCCTTCAGTCATCTCCGACTCTTCGTGACCTCATGGACCAGCTCACGCCAGAGCTCCCTGTCGGCCATCACCACCCCCAGCTCCTTCAAGGTCAGTCCAATCACTTCAAGGATGCCATCCATCCATCTTGCCTTGGTCGGCCCCTCTTCCTTTTGCCTTCCACTTTCCCCAGCATAATTGTCTTCTCTAGGCTTTCCTGTCTCCTCATGATGTGGCCAAAGTACTTCAACTTTGTCTCTAGTATCTTTCCCTCCAGTGAGCAGTCGGGCTTTATTTCCTGGAGGATGGACTGGTTGGGTCTTCTCGCAGTCCAAGGCACTCTCAGCACTTTCCTCCAACACCACAGCTCAAAAGCATCAATCTTCCTTCGCTCAGCCTTCCCTAAGGTCCAGCTCTCACATCCGTAGGTGACTACAGGGAATACCATGGCTTTGACTAGGCGGATCTTTGTTGCCAGTCTGAAGTCTCTACTCTTTACTATTTTATCGAGACTGGACATTGCTCTCCTCCCAAGAAGGAAGCGTCTTCTGATTTCCTGGCCACAGTCTGCATCTGCAGTAATCTTTGCACCTAGAAATACAAAGTCTGTCACAGCCTCCAGGGTTTCTCCCTCTATTTCCCAGTTGTCAATCATTCTTGTTGCCATAATCTTGGTTTTTTTGACGTTTAGCTGCAACCCGGCTTTTGCGCTTTCTTCTTTCACCTTGATTAGAAGGCTCTGCATTTCCCACCCTCGGCTTATACTTGAGTCTATATGTTTTCCCAGTTTTTTATGGTAAAATTTGGTGCCTCTGCTTATATTCGGGTCGGCTTATACTCGAATATATATGGTACTTTTCCCAATAGGATGCCCCTTCATAATAAGAAAAGAGTTTCTTCTGTTTTTGTGCTCAGAAATACTACGGCAGGAAATCTCCCATTGGGCGGGACGTCTGTCGGTTGCGGAAAGCGTACTACAACGCGCGTCACGAGGCGGCTGCCCAAATTGATGAGATTGTGGGAGAGACGGCAAGCGAGGCGGACAGCAGTGAGACGTCTATGTGCGAGAAGGAGAACGGCCACGAGAAGGATGAGGACGTGATCCGCTGCATCTGCGGCCTGTTCAAAGATGAAGGGCTCATGATCCAGTGTGACAAGTGCATGGTGAGGGCATGCAATAATAATAAATATAGTAAAATAACAATAATAGATTGAAATAATCTATATAAATAAAAATGTAATGTTCATTTGTGGGATTAACAGAACTCAAAAACCACTGGACAAATTGACACCAAATTTGGACACAAGACACCTAACAATCCAATGTATGGGCTTGGCCTCATGTAAGCCGCCCTGAGTCCACCTGGGGAGATGGTGGCGGGGTATAAATAAAGTATTAAATATTTATTTATTTATTTATTTATTTATTTGCATTATTTCTATCCCGCCCATATCAGCCCATATCAGGCGACTCAGAGCGGCATAAACAGTCGGCACAATTCGAGGCCATAAAATACATACATTGATAAAGCAAAAAGAAACATTACAATACATTTAAACATAAAGACAATGAATAATAAAAATTTAAAAACTATGTCCTCTCGTTCAAATCCTCATCCGTTCCACCGTCTTGGCTGTTCTTGGGTCATTTTCTGATTCAAGTTTTGTCTATTTATCCCGAGGTTCTGAATGCTTGCTCGAAGAGCCAAGTTTTTACTCTTTTTCGAAAGGTCAGGAGGGAGGGGGCTGATCTAATATCCCTAGGCAGGGAGTTCCACAGCCGAGGGGCCACCACAGAGAAGGCCCTGTCTCTCGTCCCTGCCAAACGTGCTTGGGAAGCAGGCGGGATTATTATTATTATTATTATTATTATTATTATTATTGGATTCTATGATTCTATGACATATACCGAAAGAGGATGCTGATGGTCTGTTTAGGTTTTGTTACCTGTTTTTATTAGAAGTAACTATTTCTCATTTTGAGGGGGGGCTTATTTTGAGAGTCTGGGCCTCTTCCAGCAAGTAATACTGACTTGTTAGTCAGCACAACCCAATGGAGATAGGTTCAAAACATTTTCTGAGCCAAGCCAGAGTGGTTTTCTCCATTACACTGAAAATCTGCAACAGATTAGAAGCAGATTGGGATGCGAGGTCAAGAAAGGCGGAGATCCAATTCAGTTTTTTTCCCTGATCCATTCATTTTGTCCTGCAGGTTTGGCAGCACTGTGACTGCATGGGGGTGAACTCAGACGTTGAACACTACCTGTGTGAACAGTGCGACCTTCGCGCAGTGGATAGGGTAAGTCTCCATCTGCTGCTTACTTAAGCCGACTCCACAATGGCTTTGCCTGTATAAAGTAATGGCAAACAACTTTTATCTGTCAGTAGAAGCAAACAAATGGCATTTTGTTTGTTTTCTTCTTGGTTTTATTTTGTTAGACGCTTATGACCTTTCAGCCAGTTTTAGGTGCCAGACAATTGCTTAGGTGGGCAATCAGACAAAGAATTGAATCTCCTTCGGAGGAGATAAAGCTGAAAATATATATTTTTTTTTTTGGTGTTAGGAGTGACTTGAGAAACTGCAAGTCGCTTCTGGTGTGGGCGAATTGGCTGTCTGCAAGGATGTTGTCCAGGTGAAGCCCGGATGTTTTGCCATCCTGTGAGAGGCTTCGCTCATGTCCCTGCATGAGAAGTTGGAGCTGACAGATGGGAGCTCACCCCACTCCCTGTATTTGAACTGCCAACCCTCAGTCAGCAGTCCTACCGGCACAAGGGTTACTTTACCCCATTGCATCACCAGAGGCTCCTATATATATATATATAAATGTATTGTTCGTTTGTGGGATTAACATAACTCAAAAACAACTGCGCGAATTGACACCAAATTTGGCCACAAGACACCTACAAACCCAAGGAGTGACCATCACTCAAAAAATTTGATTTTGTCATTTGGGAGTTGTAGTGGCTGGGATTTATAGTTCACCTACAATCAAAGAGTATTCTGAACTCCACCAATGATGGAATTGAACCAAACTTGGCACACAGAACTCCCGTGACCAACAGAAAACTCTAGAAGGGTTTGGTGGGCATTGACCTTGACTTTGGGAGTTGTAGTTCACCCATATCCAGGGAGCGCTGCGGATTCAAACAATGATGGATCTGGACCAAACTTGGCAGGAATACTCAATATGCCCAAATATGAACAAAGATAGAGTTTAGGGGAAATAAACCTTGACATTTGGGAGTTGTAGTTACTGTGATTTACAGTTCACCTACAGAGAGCATTATGAACCCCACGAACTGTTTACCCACAAGCATAGAGAAATTACATATATTAGAAACAGACATTTTCTCATTACTTTATTTTCTAGATCACCAGACTGGGCCACAGCAACGCGTGGCAGGGGATGGCTAGTATCTATATAAATAAAGATGTAATATTCGTTTGTGGGATTAACATTACTTACTTAGGCGATCCCTCATTTTCCGAGGATGATTGTCTTCCAGTATTCTTGTGGGTGTGTATGTGGCTGTGGAGCCCTATTCTTGCTCTGCATCTTCCGCAGTGAGGGCATTGGTTTCCAGGTGGGAGGCAGTCTCGGTCAGGGTTGGCTTGATGCGCTTTCCTCTTGGCACGCTTCTCCCTTTTGCCCTCCATTCATGCCTCTTCAAATTCTGCAGCACTGCTGGTCACAGCTGACCTCCAGCTGGAGCATTCAAGGGCGAGGGCTTCCCAGTTCTCAGTGCCTATGCCAGAGTTTTTAAGGTTGGCTTTGAGCCCATCTTTACATCTCTTCCTGTCCACCAACATTCCGTTTTCCATTCTTGAGTTCGGAGTAGAGCAACTGCTTTGGGAGACGGTGAGGGATTAACATAACTCAAAAACTACTGGGCGAATTGACACCAAATTTGGACACAATACACCTCTCAGGCCAACGAGTGACCATCACTCATAAAAACACTGGAAAACACTGCAGAAGAAACTTAAAAAGCCAAAAATTAAAAAATACATTACAACACATGCACAAAACCACACATATATGCAGGTACACATGTATACACGCACATATACACACACAAAATACATATACACAGACTGTGCCACAGCAACGCATGGCAGGGGACAGCTAGTATAATAATATAATAATTAAATGATGCCTCAGAGGATATGCTCAATCCAGGGAATTATTATTACTACCAGAACCAAGTTCCCAGGTCTTTTCCTCATGCAATCCATTTTTAGGTTCCTCATTTCATTCTGCAAACTAATTTAGTCTGGCACACTTTTAGAAATCAGAAATGGATTTTAATCTAATGCAGGTCACCCAGCGATATGCCAGTAGAGTCTAATGCCCCCTTATCTAAATCAGAGCTCTCTAAACTGTGAGTCCGGACACCTGGGGACACGAGAAATTTGGTTTCTGAGCACCACCCATTTACACAAATCTGTTATCAACAACATGTAAGGTGACAGTAGACTCTGCAGAAGATGTTTCAGCTGCCCTTCATAAAAAAGGAAAATCAGCCTATTTAGCAAGTCTCACAAATGCTGATTTATTATCAGTAAAGGTTTTGTTTTTGTGCCTATTTTATATCCCTACGGTCACATAAAAATTTCTCAGGTGGATAAGGGTCATGAGTGGAAAAAAGTTAAAGAAACGCTAATTTTAGAAAGACAATAAACTACAGGGCTGTTTTTAGTCATTCCCACTCCGTACTCCCAACTCTTTTAGTTGCCTTACAGTTTAATTCCCTTCTAACAAACATATCTCTGTGATCTTTTGTGAATCACTTTGGAACTCATTTGAAAAGCTAATGTGAAGATCTTTAATTTTGTGAGTGATAAAAGTGAGTCCCAGAAAGTTGAGCTACATTGCACTTCTTTTGCTCTTTTTTCTTGTCTTTCGTTAGGAGGTGCCTATGATTCCTCGTCCTCATTATGCCCAGTCTGGCTGTGTTTACTTCATCTGTCTGTTACGGGACGATCTCTTGCTACGCCAAGGTGAGTGTCTGTCTTCTCTGGGAGTCAACCTTTGGGAATCTTGTACCTATCTGTCCAGTTTGACAAAGTAAATGCTTGGTGAAGGGTTCAAAATACAGGTGCATATCATGCTATCTTAATAGCAAATCCTCAAATATTAATTTTCCTAATAACGGCTATCCTTTCTGTGACTGGCACTGGCTTTTCCAGAGTTGCCTTAGGGCTGAGAAAGGCGGGCTAGAAATGCCATAAATAGATAGATAGATAGATAGATAGATAGATAGATAGATAGGTCAGTTGACTTTAAAGCAGTGGTTCCCAATCTTTTTTTTTTGACCAGATTTGATTTGGTTTTTGGTGAACTTCAGATTTGATTTGGTTATTTGGGGAGCTGATTCAGGAAATTACATTGGATAGACCACATCAGCTCTAGTTTCTGATACAGAACATATGCCATCCTGTAGTTACTATCTGCTCGCCCACAGAAAATTTTTGGTTGGGATGTGTTATTATCCGTAGTTAACATTCATGTAAAAAAAAAAGAAGGGGGCTGATGTTGAAATAATACCTTTAATAATAATATAAATGGCTTTAATAATATTTTATTACTACTACTACTACTACTACTACTACTACTACTTTGAGAGAGCAAACAGGGTCTTACAAAGGGCTGCTTTCCCATTACAACTGATGTGTGGCAGTGGGAGATAATAATAATCATCATCATCTCTATGCTGGATTTCGTATCACAAAATCACAAGTCGAACACTTCCCAAGCGTCTTGGACTGTCTGATGTATTTCGAATGATGCGTGCAGATCCAAGTAAGATGGCCTTTTGCAGTTGACAGATCGTGATTTTGTCAATGTTTATTGTTTTCAAATGCCGGCTGAGATCTTTTGGCATGGCCACTGGGACCACCTGTACTGGTTGATGCCAGAGCCTTTACAGTTCGATTTTGAGGTCTTGATAGCGGCTGAGTTTTTCCTGTTGTTTTTCCTCCATGCGACTGTCACCTGGAATGGCGACATCCATAATCCAGACTTTTTTCTTTTCCCCAATCGTGATGTCTGGTGTATTGTGTTCCAAAACTTTGTCTGTCTGGATTCGGAAGTCCCACAGTTTTTTTGCGTGTTCATTTTCTACGACCTTTGTGGATTTATAATCCCACCAATTTTTTGCTGCTGGCAGGTGGTATTTGTGACAGAAGTTCCAGTGAATCATTTGGGCCACAGAGTTGTGCCTCTGTTTGTAGTTCATCTGTGCAATTTTCTTGCAACAGCTGAGGATATGGTCCATGATTCCATCAGCTTCCTTGCATGGAGAAGTCTGTTACTCCAATTAAACAACTATTTTTTTAAAGAACTACAAAATTCCAACTCTTTTGTTATTCCTTAAATAACAGCATCACCACTCTTCTACTTTGGGCAGCACTCCGCTGATTCATGAATCCCACAGTTGATAAAGGTTGTGAAAATGTGATGAACAAGTCCCAATCCAAGGTGCAAAGAGGTAGTTCTGATACCTTTTTCTCTTGACAGGTGACTGCGTGTACCTGATGCGAGACAGCCGAAGGACTCCGGATGGGCATCCCGTTCGACAGTCGTACCGCCTGCTGTCCCACATCAACCGAGAGCGGCTTGATATTTTCCGCATTGAAAAGCTCTGGAAGAATGAAAAGTAAGTCTCAGTCCTGGCTTACACAAAACTGCCATTTGCAAGAGTTTCACTCCAACAACATTTGTAAATGTGTACTTCAGTCACTCTTGCTATACGTAAATCTCCAATGCAGGATGAAATCTAAACTCTCCTCTTCCTTTCCCTCAGGGGAGAACGATTTGCCTTTGGACACCACTATTTCCGTCCCCACGAAACACACCACTCCCCTTCCAGAAAGTTCTACCACAACGAACTGTTCCGAGTGCCTCTGTACGAGATCATCCCCTTGGAGGCCGTGGTGGGGACCTGCTGCGTGCTGGACCTTTACACCTATTGCAAAGGCAAGGCCACGTCGCTGGGTGCCAAACCAGCTCTTAGTTCTCAAGATTGTATCCTCCTCCTTGCTCCAAACCATAGAACTTCAAGAGGCTGCAACCTAAATAATTTTGGGAAGCATTGGAATGCCTTTGCTGTGAGAAAACTCTACAAACTTTGAGGCTTTCATCATGGCAGAAGGTTATGCCAATGGATAATCTATATAAATAAAAATGTAATGTCCGTTTGTGGGATTAACAGAACTCAAAAACCACTGGGGGAAATGACACCAAATTTGGACACAAGACACCTAACAACCCAATGTATGTCCTTCACTCAAAAATTTGATTTTTGTCATTTGGGAGTTGTAGTTGCAGGGATTTATAGTTCACCTACAATCAAAGATCATTCTGAATCCCACCAACGATGGAATTGAACCAAACTTGGCACACAGTTCTCCCATGACCAAGAGAAAATACTGGAAGGGTTTGATGGGCAGTGTCCTTTGGTTTTGGAGTTATAGTTCACCTACATCCAGAGATCACCGTGGACTCAAACAATGATGGATCTGGACCAAACTCTACGAATACTCAATATGTCCAAATGTGAACATTGGTGGAGTTTGGGGGAAATAGAATCTTGACATTTGGGAGTTGTAGTTACTGGGATTTATAGTTCACCTACAATCGCAGAGCATTCTGAACCCCACCAATGATAGAATTGGGCCAAACCTCCCACACGGAACCCCCATGTGGGCCACAGCAATGCGTGGCAGGGGACAGCTAGTATAGTAATAAGACTTTATTTATATTCTACTCTATCTCCCCGAGGGGATGAATGAATGGTTTTCCCTCCCACAAGACTTGGTGATTGTGCATAGAAATAGATTGATGATACATTCTAAACAGAACAAGCAACATTCTTCTTTTACAAATATATAATTAATGTATGGAATTGTCCACCACAAAATTCAGTCCAGCATGACAGGGGATGGTGTCTCACATTCCTAATAATAATAACAATAACAACAACAACAACAACAACAGTGGCTCTGGCATAAACAGGTGGTACCAGTGGTCATTGGCACACTGGGTGCAATGCCAAAAGATCTTAACCAGCATTTGGAAACAATAAACATTGACAAAATCACGATCTGTCAACTGCAAAAGGCCACCTGACTTGGATCTGCGCGCATCATTCGAAAATACATCACACAGTCCTATACTGTTTGGGAAGTGTTAGACTTGTGATTTTGTGATACGAAATCCAGCATATAGATCTCATTTACTGTGACATACTGTGGTTTTGTGTCAGTAAAATAATAATAATAATAATAATAATAATAATAATAACAACAACAACAACAACAACTGTATTTTTATACCCCGCCTCCATCCCCCCAAAGGGACTCGGGGTGGCTTACAAAGGGACATGCCCAACAAAACAAGTTAAAATAAGCATTGAAAAGCAAGCAATATGCATTATTAATAAACATAAAATCAGACGACATTATACAAACAATTTAAAGCAATATCATGACTGAATAAATAAAGTTTTCAGTAAACCTAGCATAGCTGCTTCCATGAAGGTAGTTATTCTGAAGGGAGTTATTCTACTTTGTTCCAAGTCCATTTGAGTCAGTCCACTACTTACAGAGCACATACACAATGGAATTACTTGTGCTCAGAGGTGGCGCAACCACTGTGGCTTCAATACACTGATAATAGTATAGGGAATAAGCATATTACTCTATTAAAACAAATTTATTAGTATTTCAATGGGAAGTGTTGGCCTGCTTTTGGCTGATGAGATAAGATTGTTGTTGTTGTTGTTGTGTTCTTTCAAGTCATTACAGACTTAGGTTGACCCTAAGCGAGGGCTGGGTAAATGACTTTGGAGGGTCGCATTCGGCCCCCGGGCCTTAGTTTGAGGACCCCTGGTATCGGGAATAAGCATATTAGTCTATTACAACGAAAGCAGCAGTCTTGCTATTTCCAAAGGACTACTAAGTTTGTAAAGCTTTAATTTGAGATTTGTTTTGAAAGTGCTTTAGTGGGGAACAGAATACAGAATCGACTCATAGCCTTTTTGCTGAGCTGCAGATTCTCAATTATAGAGGCGAGACTTTTTGAAATCATTCATCTGACCGTCCCTCTGGGTGTTTTGCCCACAGGAAGGCCAAAGGGTACGAAGGAACCGGATGTGTACATCTGCGATTACCGCCTCGATAAATCAGCCCACCTCTTTTACAAGATCCACCGAAACCGCTATCCAGTCTGCACCAAGACCTATGCCTTTGACCACTTCCCCAAAAGGCTGACGCCGAAGAGAGACTTCTCTGTAAGCCAGTTCAGTAATCAATTCTCCACATTCTGTGTTGGCATTAAGTGTCGGAATATGAACTTTCACTCTGCTTTTCTTTATCTCTTCCAGCCTCATTATATTCCAGACAATTACAAAAGGAATGGAGGCAGGTGAGTCCCTTCATCGCTCTGCATTCATTTGGGGAAAATGTTTTGGCAGAGAGGGGAATTACATTTTTAGACTAAACTAAACAATCATGTTATTTATTAGTTGCCATTTGTAAACCGCTCCGAGTCTCCTTCGGGCTGAGAGGAGCAGTATATAAATATAGCAAATAAATAAATAAATCTATATAAATAAAAATGTAATGTTCATTTGGGGGATTAACATAACCACAAAACCACAATTGACACGAAATTTGGAGACAATACACCTAACAGTCCAACGAGTGTCCATCACCCCTAAACACACACACACAGACAAAACCCCAACAGAATTGTTGTTGTTCATTCGTTCAGTCGTCTCCGACTCTTCGTGACCTCATGGACCAGCCCACGCCAGAGCTCCCTGTCGGCCGTTACCACCCCCAGCTCCCTCAAGGTCAGTCCAGTCACTTCAAGGATGCCATCCATCCATCTTGCCCTTGGTCGGCCCCTCTTCCTTTTGCCTTCCACTTTCCCCAGCATAATTGTCTCTCTAGGCTTTCCTGTCTCCTCATGATGTGGCCAAAGTACTTCAACTTTGTCTCTAGTATCTTTCCTCCAGTGAGCAGTCGGGCTTTATTTCCTGGAGGATGGACTGGTTGGATCTTCTCGCAGTCCAAGGCACTCTCAGAACTTTCCTCCAACACCACAGCTCAAAAGCATCGATCTTCCTTCGCTCGGCCTTCCCTAAGGTCCAGCTCTCACATCCGTAGGTTACTACAGGGAATACCATGGCTTTGACTAGGCGGATCTTTGTTGCCAGTCTGATGTCTCTACTCTTTACTATTTTATCGAGACTGGACATTGCTCTCCTCCCAAGAAGTAAGCGTCTTCTGATTTCCTGGCCACAGTCTGCATCTGCAGTAATCTTTGCGCCTAGAAATACAAAGTCTGTCACGGCCTCCACGGTTTCTCCCTCTATTTTCCAGTTGTCAATCATTCTTGTTGCCATAATCTTGGTTTTTTTGACGTTTAGCTGCAACCCGGCTTTTGCGCTTTCTTCTTTCACCTTGATTAGAAGGCTCCTCAGCTCCTCCTCACTTTCGGCCATCAGAGTGGTGTCATCTGCATATCTGAGGTTGTTAATGTTTCTTCCAGCAATTTTCACCCCAGCTTTGCATTCATCCAGCCCTGCACATCGCATGATGTGTTCTGCATACAAGTTAAAAAGGTTGGGTGAGAGTATGCAGCCTTGCCGTACGCCTTTCCCAATCTTGAACCAGTCTGTTGTTCCGTGGTCAGTTCTTACTGTTGCTACTTGGTTCTTGTACAGATTCCTCAGGAGAGAGACAAGGTGGCTTGGTGCCCATCCCACCAAGAACTTGCCACAATTTATTATGATCCACACAGTCAAAGGCTTTAGAATAGTCAATGAACAGAAATAGATGTTTTTCTGAAACTCCCTGCCTTTCTCCATTATCCAGCGGATATTGGCAATTTGGTCTCTCTTTCCTCTGCCTTTTCTAAACCCAGCTTGTACATCTGGCAACTCTCGCTCCATGTATTGCTGGAGTCTTCCTTGTAGGATCTTGAGCATTAACTTATTGGCATGTGAAATAAGTGCCACTGTATGAAAGTTTGAGCATTCTTTAACATTTCCCTTTTTTGGTATGGGGATATAAGTTGATTTTTTCCAGTCTGATGGCCATTCTTGTGTTTTCCATATTTGCTGGCATATGGCATGCATCACCTTGACAGCATCATCTTTTAAGATTTTAAACAGTTCAGCTGGGATCCCGTCGTCTCCTGCTGCCTTGTTGTTAGCAATGCTTCTTAAGGCCCATTCAACCTCATTCCTCAGGATGTCTGGTTCTAATTCATTCACCACACCATCAAAACTATCCTCAATATGATTATCCTTCCTATACAGATCTTCTGTATAGTCTCGCCACCTTCTCTTGATCTCCCCAACGGAGTAGGCTTTAAAAAACCCAAAATACATCGTATATATAGATACACATACGCTCATATACATATAAACATGCATACATTCATACACACGTGTGTGTGTGTGTGTGTGTGTGTGTGTGTGTGTGTGTGTGTGTGTATGCAAAAACACACACAAATATACACATACATATACATAAACACATATGAAAGTCACAGGGAGGAGGGAGCAAGCTTCCTTCCTGCTGCCCTGGAGACTAGGGCATGGAACAATGGCTTCAAACTAGAAGAAAGGAGATTCCATCTGAACATTAGGAAGAACTTCCTAACTGTGAGAGCCGTTCAGCAGTGGAACTCTCTGCCCCGGAGTGTGGTGGAGGCTCCTCTTTTGGAGGCTTTGGAACAGAGGCTGGTTGGCCATCTGTCGGGGGTGCTTTGAATTCAATTTTCCTGCTTCTTGGCAGAATGGGGTTGGACTGGATGGCTCACGAAGTCTCTTCCAAGTCTATGATTCTATATACATATATACATGCACACACAAATATACATATACACAGATATACGTATACACTTGCACACATACATATATACATATACACATGCACACACATATACGCAATATGCATGTACACATATAAACACAAATATACACACACACATATACACACACACACACACATATATATACACACACACAAACACACATATATACACACACATAAACATATGTATACACACACAAAACACATGTAGCAACGCATGGCAGGGGACAGCTAGTAAATAAATAAATTTATCGTGTCAGAAATGAGTTGAGGGTGCAGTTAAAATGCATTTAAAAACACATGGTGTTTTTTTTTTAAAAAAAACTCAGCATTATGTTGAATGTCCTTTGACCAGTAGCCCACCACTTGGAGTGCCTCTGGTATCGCTGTGAGAAGGTCCTCCATTGTGCATGTGGCAGGGCTCAGACTGCATTGTAGTAGGTGGTCTATAGTTTGCTCTTCTCCACACTCACATGTCATGGACTCCACTTTGTGGCCCTATTTCTTAAGGTTAGCTCTGCATCTTGTTTATATATCATATTTATATATTTATAAAGCTTACCTGCCTCATATAGCTCCTGAAACATACTTGTTTTGAGACTGGGAAAATGTGCAGGAAGGAGAAAAGAATATGGATAAGATAACTAAGGCGTTGCTAAGGCAGAGGGCGCAGATCTGTGTAAGAGGTTGAGAAAGATCAGGTCGACCTCAAGAGATTGGAAGGTGAAGAAGACAAGCTCATGTTGCACTGAGCTCAAGTGAGGCAGAGATCGGGGCTCTGAGCATGTCATACACAGAGATCTGTATAATAAAGCAGTTACTGAAGGACTTGCAGATTCCGGTTGAGGACACCACAACAATTTACGAGGACAACCAGACATGGCTACCCAAGCCAGGGTAAAACAAAGGAGCAAGCATGTGGACATAAAGTAGAATTGTGTTAGGGATGCAGTAAAGAATGGTGAGATTGATTTGATTTTCTGCAGTACTAACTTGAACCTGGCAGATGTGTTAATTAAACTGTTGAGTGTTCAAAAATATTTAGCAGTATTGAATGATTTGTGATTGTTTGTTTATTTATTTATTTATTTGCAGTGTTTATATTCTGCCCTTCTCAACTCGCATGGGGACTCAGGGCGGATTACAATATACATATACATGGCAAACATTCAATGCCATAGACACACAACATATATAGACAGACACACAGACGCTATTTAACATTCCAGCTTTTTCATGAAGGTATTCTGGCCACCAGGGGAACTGTTGCTTCACCGTCCATTTGTGACACTGATGAAGTACTTCCTCATTCTTTGCATGCTTGCTGGAGATTTTTATGGCATTGTAAATTAGCCTCCCCGCATAGGCGGTACCTAAATTTCCTACTTGACAGATGCAACTGTTTTGATTGTATTGTATAAATGTAAAGGCTTATTTTTCTGTTAACACAAGGATCAGCTGTAAAATAAGATGCATGAAGCTGATTGGTCGGGCAATATCCAGGGAGATGGCTGAGCCGAATGCACATGACTACTAGCGATAGATAAGGGGCACTGTGCATCGGAGACCACAATGAAGTTTCAAACTTCATTTTATGGCAAGTGTAGATGGGGCCTTGGTTAGGCTTGCCATACTGATACTGAGAACATTCTTCCGAGTGTTTGCACGAGGCAGTCCATCTGTAGCAATGTGGCTTGCACAGCCGGCCATGCAGTGTTTCCTTCTGTCTGAGACTCCTCATGCCATTGAATGGCTCCTGTTCTCTTTCCCAGGTCAGCTTGGAAGTCTGACCGTGCCAAGTCACAGAGCAAAGATCTGTGCCAGGAGGAAGACCCCCTTCCCCTCATGGAAGACATGATTGTGAGCCAGGAGCCGGCCTCTAGCGAGCAGGTGCCCCGCCTGGAAGAGCCGGAGAAGGAGGCCCCTTCCCAAGAAAGCGATGAGATGGAGAAGAAGGAGGAAGACAGCAGCCCCATCCCCAGGCGGCCTTGCACTCCAGAGGAACGCCGGCACATGCAGCGCGAGAGGCTCAACCAAATCCTCCTTACCCTCCTAGAGAAAATCCCAGGGAAAAATGGTAAGAGAACAACAGTTTTCTTTCTCTCCCTCCCCTCCCCCAAAGTCTACACGTGTTTCCTTTTTAATATAACACCTAGCGCATATACCCAGCCTTGCCCAGTTGTCAGAGGGCCACTGACCCCTGCTTTCATCCCATCTTTCCCTTCCTTCCTTCCTTCCTTCCTTCCTTCCTTCCTTCCTTCCTTCCTTCCTTCCTTCCTTCCTTCTTTCCTTCCTTCCTTTCCTCCCTTCCCTTCCCTTCCCTTCCCTTCCCTTCCCTTCCCTTCCCTTCCATCATACATTCCCCTTTTTCCTTTCTTCCTCCCCCCCCCTTCTCCTTTCCCTTTCTTTCCCTTCTTTTTCTTTCTTTCTTTCCACTCTCCTTTCTCCAGCTTAGAGAGGGCAATAAATATGAAAATTAAAACCCTTTATTTATACCCCACCACCACCTCTCTATGGGAGGTGGTGGTGGGGTATAAATAAATTATTATTATTATTATTATTATTATTATTATTATTATTATTATTATTATTATTATTATTATAAACACAACAAGATGAGTCCACAGCAGAAAAGATCACTCTGCTGGCTGTTTTATTGGATCTCACGTCGGACACTTCCCAAGTGACCAGGACTGCGTGATGTATCGGCGAATAATGCGTGCAGATCCCAGTAAGGTGGCCTTCTGCAGCTGGCAGATGGTAATTTTGTCAGCGCCGATTGTGTTTAAGTGCAGACCAAGGTCTTTAGGCACTGCACCCAGTGTGCCAATCACCACTGGGACCACCTTGACTGGCTTGTGCCAGAGTCTTTGCAATTATTATTATTATTATTATTATTATTATTATTATTATTATTATTACAGAGGGCCAATCCTTCACCTAGAAACAGCCTTTGTAATACAGACAGACATGGACACACACAGATAAATAGTAGATAGTACGTACATGCATGCATACATACATAGATCAAGATTTGTCCAAGCAAGCAGGGTTTCTGAAACTGTTAGAATACGATTAATGCAAGGCTTTAAGAGGACTTTTGCATTTGAAAACATTTTTAAAATTAGGAATACTCTTGCATGAGCTCTAAGATCTTCCGGGGAGGCCCTCCTCTCGGTCTCACTACCGTCTCAAGCGCGGTTGGTGGGGACGAGAGAGAGGGCCTTCTTAGTGGTGGCCCCCCATCTCTGGAACACCCTTCCAAGGGAAAAAATACAGGCCCCATCCCTCCCCTCCTTTCGTAAGAGCTTGAAGACCTGGTGGTTTCAACAAGCCTTTGAAAATGACCAGTTCTAACTCAGCCTTTATTCTTCCTACCAATTACCCAGATCACTTCCTCTAATCGGCTCCGGAATGAACAGCCACAGACCCGTACCTAATATTATTGTTGCCTGCCATAGCATTGCACTTAATTCCCGGTCCCCTAGAATTTTTGGGCTTGCACAAATCTTGGCCTGACCTTTTACATTTTTAAATAGCCTTGAACAGGCAGGATTACTTTTAATATATGTGCGTTATGACAATTTTTATGCTTATATTTTGTTTTGTTAATTTTATGGTTATGTTGTTTTTACTTTGTATGTTTTGTGATGTTACCTGGGAACCGCTCTGAGTCCCTTCGGGGAGATGGAGCGGTATATAAATAAAGTTTTATTATTTATTATTGCTTTCATTTTTCATGTTTGTCTGGCAACGCTCACTAAGTTTGCTCTCTGAGGTGCTTTACTGAAGTGTATCTGTCTGCATTTCTCTCTCGCACACAGCCATTGATGTCACCTACCTGTTAGAGGAAGGTTCGGGGCGGAAGCTGCGGCGACGCACTCTGGCTCTCCCAGAGAGCAGCTTCAGGAAGTGACATGTGACGCTCCTCCCGCTGAGACAGAGGCTGCGCCTGGCGTTCCGCACATGAGACTGTTGGATGGATGGGCAAGGCTTTGGCCCGCTTTCCTGTGCCCCGCAGTGCGTTTAGGGTGGGGTGGGGTGGGCGGCAGCCAAGGAGGTAGAAGAAGGAAACGGACAAAAAACGGTTCGGTAGCACTTAGACGATGCGTTTGGGTAGGCAAGCGGCCCCACTCAGCAGTACTGTTACGACTTGTGTGGTGTGGGGCGTGCCTTGTGGTCGGCGTTAAGGTACTCAGAAAAACCTTGTGGTTGTTTGTCCAAGACAGTCTGGTTTTAATTTTTATTTATTCCCTCCCCCCGACACACACCCAAACATACATGCTCTTGCTCCAGGTCGGAGGAAGGAGAAAAGGGGGCAGGAGGAGGGAGATGGACAGAGGCATATGGGGAGGTAAGCTGGTTCAGAACTGATTTTCCTTCCATAGGAGACCTGTCACCGTTAAACAGCTCAAGCTGGAGGTGGCCGAATGGGGTCGGAGGCGCCGGGGAAACGTCCCAAACCCCAAGAGAGGGGCTCGAGGGGCACGGAAGGCCTTCGGTTTGCTCAGGACACAGCGGAGTCAGAGCGACGCATTGAGCGTAGAAGGCACGTGGGACATTTTCGAGCCCCCGTCGGCGTGGAAACCGCGGCCAAAGCCCTCCGACTCCGAAGCACTTGTTTTCCCACGTTCTGCAACTTAGGGGTGGGCAGGGAGGGCAAGTTTTTTAAAAACACTTTCATTTGGGGTTTTTTTGCTGCAGAGGAAATTTTATAAAGCAAGTCGAATCCTAACGCCATCCCGTTGTTTTTCCCCCCCTTGTTTAATTTTGTAGTAAGCTGTTGTTCTTGTGTGTCCCGTGTATTGTGAACATATATTTTTTTTACTAAAAAAAGACAAAAAAATATATCCCAGCCCTGTCCAAACAGCAAAGCCCTTCCACTACATGAACCGTCGAGCAGTATTTCTGAGCAAGTATTTGTCGTGAAACTGTAGACTTATTATTATTCATGGATAACACTACTCCTTGTGTTTTGATTTTGTTTTTTAGGAAAAGGAAAAAAAATATGTACAGCTTAAAAGCATCCGTCTCTTAAAGAGACAGTGTATTTTACGCTCCCGCCTCTCTTTGACCTTAAACTGGGGAGGGATTAAAACAAAACAAAAAAAAAAGGTGTTAACTCGTTGGAAAGGAACGGTTTCCTTGCTTAACACAAAAACGGTTTCCAACCATTGCTGACATTTAGTGCCGTACCAGAAGGAGAACATGCCGTGGTTTATTGGCCATAGGGAGCCGGCAGTTCGGCATACACTGGCCCTTTAACGTGGCTTTGCTCTGTCTCTTTTTGGCGTCCCTACGCATATTATGGTCCTGTTTTAGGTGTCCTTATAAAAAAAAAAAACAAATCCTGTTTCTCAATGTGCCAAGTTGTATATATATATATCAAGAATCCTTTTTTTTTCTTCTTTTTTGCTGCGTGGTTGTAAAACAATATGGTAGCGCTCTCTCTGTGTCCCTTCCCCGATGGACCAAGCTTTGTCCCGACTGTACATTGTCGTTGACTATATTACTCTTTTATTAGTTTGGAACAAACAAACAAAAGGCTCCATTCCATTCGGATTTTTCTTTTCTTTCCTGATGATTTAAGAAGTTAAGAAAGGGTTGGGAAAGGAGAAGGGATGGGTGGGATGGGGGGGGGAATAAAAAGGGGGAGCCCTTTGAGGAAAAAAAATATTTTATTAAAAAAAATAAGACAAATAAGAAAATAGTTTGGAATATTTTCTTACTGTAGAAAAAAAAGCCTTGTACAGGAGATCCCTGAGTATAAAATACTCGTTCGTGTTGTAGGAAAAATGGGGAGGGCAGGGTGGGAAAAAACGCATGTCCGCAAAATCTTTTAAAGTCACTCCATTTAGTTCCGAACGGGGAAATTGTCTCAGAATGGTGTTAAACACTAAACAAAAATAGAGAAAGAGAGAAAAACAAAATTAAAGTCCTTTAAAAAGAAAATGATGATGATGATGATGATGATGATGATGATGATGATGATGATGATGAAAAGCTTGCCCGGAAGTGAGACACTAGCTCTGCCATTTTATCTTTCGTTTCTTGAAAGACTAAAAACGATGTTTTTTAGACAATCAAATTCTAGGTAAGTGCGAAAAGAATTTGCGTTGGGTTGTTTTGTTTTTCTTAATTTTTTTTTTGGTTTTGTTTTCTTACTGGTGTAGAAAATTACTGACTTTTTAAAATAAAAAACAAACCAGGGGGTCGGGGAAGGGGTGATTTTGTATTAACTGAGGATGACTGGCAGCGTTTCACCCGATCGCTGATGGAAGCCCAGGAGGAAGAGGAGGAGAAAAAAGAAGCACTACGTTTGTTGCAAAATATAGATACGAACTCTTTTTAGTCTGCATGGGGATAGGCCGTGTGGTTGCTGAGAAGAAATGCTGCTAATATATTTCCTTTTTACAAGAGCATATCTAAATAGACCATTGTTTTGATGTTAATCTTTGTAAATTATGTATTACCAATTTTAACATTGGATGTAATTGCATAAAAAGGCCTGCATCTCAAATACCAAGAGATTCTAGTATTAAATGGGATAAAAAAACCATGTTTCCTATCCAGTGGCTTTGGGGTTTTTTCTTGTCGGCTTCTTTGCTTCTCCCTTTTTCTTCCTCTCACACACAAAGATGTTGCCTCGATCTGTCCGTTTTTTAATGGATTTGTGTTTGCCATGTTACAATGCTGTTAAAACAGTGGTTCCCAATCTGTGGTCTGTGGACCACCAGTGGTCCGCAAGAACTAAAATATGGTCTGTGGCCTCACTGTTACTACACCGTTGCATCGAGAGCGACTAGTCGCATGAAACCCTCTTATAGTGCCAATAATAATAATAATAATAATAATAATAATAATAATTCTAGGGGCCCCGGGAATTAAGTGCAATGCTATGGCAGTTAACAATATTAGGTACGGGTCTGTGGCTGTTCATTCCAGGGCCGATTAGAGGAAAGAATCTGGGTAATTGGTAGGAAGAATAAGTCCATATTCAACAATGTGTAGCGCTGAGTTAGAACTGATCATTTTCAAAGGCTTGTTGAAACCACCAGGTCTTCAAGCTCTTACGAAAGGAGGGGAGGGATGGGGCCTGTCTTATTTCCCTTGGAAGGGCGTTCCAGAGGAGGGGGGCCACCACCGAGAAGGCCCTCTCTCTCGTCCTTACCAACCGCGCTTGAGACAGTAGTGGGACCAAGAGGAGGGCCTCCCCGGAAGATCTTAAGAGTTCGTGCTGGTTCATAGAAGGAGATGTGATCATGGAGATAGGCTTATTAAATATGACTTTCTGTGGGCAAGCAGATGGCAACTACTGGATGGCATATGTTCTGTATCACAAACTAGAATTGATGCTGTCTATCCAATGCAATTTTCTGAATCAGCGTCCCAAATAACTAATCTGAATCTAACGTTAACTGAAAACTGATTTGTAATCTTTTTGGTACTAATGTGGGAGAGTGGTCCCTGGTCAAAATAGTCCTTGGTCAAATGAACTCTGGTCAAAAAAAAAAAAAGGTTGGGAACCACTGTGTTAAAATGCCAAGGATGGTTATTTATTTATTTATTTATTTTGTGTCAAAAGCATTGCAAAAAATAGTTTATCTAAAACTGATAAAGGGATCACAAGCTGCTAGATAGTTGTAGACCAAAAACGGGCATCAGCAACCGCATTGTCTGTAGCTTTCTGTAGCTCTGTACATGAGGTAGGGCATTGTGGGCAAGCATACCGATGCTGAATTGAAGAATGAAGAGAGGGGCCATGAAGGCAGTTCCATCTTGTCTCCTGCACTGTGCTTATAATATAATATAATATATTGTATATACAAATAATATTGATTATATAATGTGATACAATATGCTACTAATAATATAATTATATATTTTATATTAAATGTAATATTACTAATACAGTATAATGTTATAGTACAATATAATATATAATATTAATGTGCTATGATAAAAATATAATATACCTCTCAACAAAAGATTGCCCCAGTCACTGCCAGGCCATCAAATGCTAATCAAGGTGGTCAGTTGAAACAGTCACACCTAGCTCCAGCAGACAAGAGTTCTTTGTCCCACCTTGGTCATTCCATAGATATATAAACCCATTTTCCTAGTTCCAACAGAACTCACTACCTCTGAGGATGCTTGCCATAGATGCAGGCAAAACGTCAGGAGAGAATGCCTCTAGAACATGGCCATATAGCCCGAAAAAACCTACAACAACCCATATTGTATTTACTTTTTACTTGTAAGCCGCTCTGAGTCCCCTTCGGGGTGAGAAGGGCAGCATATAAATGTTGTAAGTAAATAAATTGTTTGTACTGCTCCACAATCGCACAAGGTGGAGGTGTCTTCTAGGTCTGTGTTTCCTAACCTTTTTTTGACCAGGGACCACTTGGACCAAGGACCACTCTCCAACATTATTTTACCAAAAGGGTTACGAATCAGTTGTTGGTCAACTTGAAATTCAGTTTGGTTATTTGAGGTGCTGATTCAGAAAATTACATTGGAGAGACCACAACAGCTCTAGTTTCTGATACAGAACATATGCCATAGTCAGCGTCATGGAAGGAGTGGCAGGCGACGCGAAAGGAGTTGAAATTAAAAAAATAACAAGGAAGGCTTGCAGACCAGATTTTCATCCTCATGGTCCACTGGTGGTCTGCATCCCACAGATTAAGAACCACTGTTCTAGGTCGCGCCATTTTGCCAAGTTGTCTTTTAATCTGCCCACTTCACTTCTGAGTCTGTTCAGAGACTTCGAAGTTGCCCATTCTTGGTTTGCCCTTGGCAGAAGACCCTCATGGGAGGCCATCGAGTTGAAATTGCCCGATTTTCCTGCCCAGAGGGATATTCTTGCTGTTGCTGTGGGAACATTACAAGGAGTTGTGGTTCTCATGATTTTTCCTCGATTTAAGTCTACTGGGAGGGGGCTGGTAGCCATGCAGTGGGTGGCTTTCACACTGTTCAGCCTTATTTCTCTCACTATCGCACATCAATGCCCGCTAGCCTATAGAGTCTATCAACAAGTGTAGGTTTAAGGCACACAGAGACCAAGGATGGTGAAGGGTTGGAGAACACATACTATGAGTAATGGACTAATAAGATGAGTATGTGTCATTTGCAGCTAAAGAGAATCTGAACAGCTATCTTCAGATATCTTAAGGGCTATGTTGCTCAGGAGGACAGAAGTAA